CCTGATCCACCCTCATCCCAACATCACCCAGGGTCCTGACCCACCCTCATCCCAACATCACCCAGGGTCCTGACCCACCCTCATCCCAACATCACCCAGGGTCCTGACCCACTCTCATCCCAACATCACCCAGGGACCTGATCCACCCTCATCCCAACATCACCCAGGGTCCTGATTCACCCTCATCCCCACATCACCCAGGGTCCTGGGCAACCCTTGCCTAGATATCACCTGTGCACCTGACACCCACCCCAAGGTCACCCAGGGCCCTACCCGACCTTGGTTTTGTCTTTCCCCAGAGAGCCAGCAGCACCCTGGTGTCTGACCTCACGGGGACGGCAGCCTCCTCCACACGCCTAGAGAGCCGCTCCCTCCCGGCCCACTTTCCGCCCTGGACCTTCTTCTTCCTGCTCTCCTGCATGATGGCCTGCTGCCTGCTGGCCTTCTTCTTCCTCCGGCGCCGCCTCCACCACTGGGAGGCCTCCACGGAAGACCTCCTCAGCTCCCAGATCAGCCTCCCCACCTTCCCGCAGCAGGACAAGCAGGACCTGGGTCTCCAGGGCCCAGAGGACGGCATCAAGGCCCAGAGGCCTCCGGAGGAGGAGAGGGCCTCCCTCCGCCTGCCCCAGCTCTCTGCCATCTACTTTCTGGTGGGCTTTGTGAACGCGCTCACCAATGGCGTGCTGCCGTCAGTGCAGACCTACTCCTGCCTGTCCTACGGGCCGGTCGCCTACCACCTGGCTGCCACCCTGGGCTCCATGGCCAACCCTCTCGCCTGCTTTGTCGCCATGTTCCTGCCCAGGAGGTCTGCCCCATGGGCCCTGGGGCACTCAGGGGGCGGGGGTTCCTCCAGATCCCAGGTTCCTCCAGTCTGCCCCTAGCCAGCTGTGTGTGTGGCGGCTAAGCGCCTGTCTCTGCTCCCCCACTGCTTCAGTTCAAAGCCCAGCTCAGCCATGGGCTCTTTGGGAAATGGGGAGGATGACAGCTCCCACTGCCTCGGGTTGCTGGCAGGATGGAATGAGTCCCTTCTCTAGAGCTCACAGAGCGGTCCGTGGCCCCCCGCAGGCCCTCTGAAGGTAGCAGTCAGCAGCCCCCGCGGGGAGGGATGGGCAGCTACTCGCAGGTCCTAGTCTACAAAACGAGGAAACAAGCAGGGAGAAAGGGCATGACCCGTTCTGACCCCCAGCATGCTGGCTCTACCCTGATGGCCTCTGGCCCCCAGCCCACGGCTGGACTCCGTGGAGCTGCCATCCTGGCAGAAGGACTGAGGAAGGTGGTAGAGAATGCAAATCCAGTGTGGGGTTTGAGTTGATGCCAAGCAAGCTGGGTGGGACCGGTGCAGGGAGGCAGGGGCTCCAGGGGCTCCAGGCCCCTAGGAGGAAGGAATGCCCACACTCTGGGGTCATGACACTGTAACTCCAAGAGCCTCCCATCTACCCTCTGCCCAGCCTGGCCCTCACTGCCTCCAGTTCCACCTCCCTGCACCTGCCCACCCCCAACCTCTCCCAGCCCAAGAAGAAGAGAATACGGACCGGGAGTTGGACCGGAAGGGCCCAGTTTCCAGGAAGCGGAACTTTCTCCCTTCCTGCAGCTGCTGGAACAAAGCGCCGAGTGGCTTACAAGAATAGGAACATACACTTGGGCCCCTCTGAAGGCTGGAGGCCCAAAGTCAGGTGTTGGCAGGGCCAGGATCTTTCTGACGGCTGAAGGGGAAGCTCCTCCTTCGCTTGTCTAGTTTCTCATGGTTCCAGGCATTCCATGACTTGCGACAGCGTAGCTCGTCCATCTTTACAAGGCCAACTTCCCTCGGGTCTGTCTTTAAAGGCTACCAATCACATTGTATCAGGGCCCAGCCTACTCCAGTATGACCTCGTGGTAACGAATGACAGCTACTAAGACCCTATTTCCAAATAAGTTCACCTTCCCCGGCACCAATAGTGAAGACTTCAATATACCTTCCCAGGGGAGACAGCTCAACCCACCATAAGGTGTAAAGCCCCCAGGAGGAGGACTGAGCTCTATGGGGAAGTGGCACCAGAGGCCCCAAATCTGCAGAATCCAGCGTGGCAGAGCTTGGCTGTCACAGAATCTGAGAAGCTTTCAGTAGCATGTGTCCTTAGCGGCAGGGACAGACCCTTCTTTCTCACCCAGGGTGGAGACCGAGCTTGGGGTTCTGGAGCATGTGCAAAGGCCTCACATGCAAGGCAGTGGCCTCTCCCGTCAGGTGTGCAGGCCCCCTGCAGAGCCAGCCTCCTTGTAGGCCAGCAGTCCCCAGCTTCAAGGGTGTCTGGAGGTCAGGCCAACACCCTCTGGCCGTGACAGGGGTAGCTGAGGTGGCATGAGGTCACACGGCATACCTGCAGTGCTGTGATTCAAGACGTCTTCTAGTTGGCCCCGTTTCCTGGCTGGCGTGAGGGCCGTGACTGCAGGAAGTCAGTCGATAAGGTGACCGTGTAAGGTGGGGTCCAGGGCCAGAGTCAGGGGTTGCACACACGGTTCCTGTAGGTCACCACGGCCCTGGGGATGGTGGCCATTCCACGTGGACCCCGGGGGGAAGGGTGGAGACAGAGGGCGGCAGCTCACCCGCCCCACTCTGTCTTAGGTCTCTGCTGTTCCTGGGGGCCCTCTCGGTGCTCGGGACCGGGTTTGGGGCCTACAACATGGCCATGGCTGTGATGAGCCCTTGCCCCCTCCTGCAGGGCCACTGGGCCGGTCAGGCCCTCATTGTAAGTATCTCCCCCCTCCCACCTCTCAGTCCAGTGCTCAGGAAACCCGGGGTGCAGCCGCCTATTGCCCAAAGTCTCTCTGGAAACCCTGGTGCGGGTGGGGGAGGGGAGGAGGCCGTGCTCATTTGGAAGGTGGGTAGCGCTGAGCAATGGGGGGTCACAGCCCCGCCTCTCTGAACCCCACACACTTCCCACCTGTGTGCCTTCTCTCAGGTGCTTTTGACTTGATCTCAGGGACCACAAACCCCCATGGGCCACCTTTTGTTTGGGATGATGGGGGTTGATTCATGGGGACCCTTAGCCCTAGGTCACCCCATAAGGCTTCCTTTGCACTTCGAGATCGTCATCCTAACGGCTCCTCCTCCAATGAGCAGCCTTGGGAACCCCCACTTCCCCCCTTCACCCTGCCTCTCTCTCCACCTATCTCTGCAGGTGGCTTCCTGGGTGCTCTTCTCGGGTTGTCTGAGCTACGTCAAGGCAATGCTGGGCGTGGTCCTGCGGGAGCACAACGACCGGGCGCTCCTGTGGTGCGGGGTGGCTGTGCAGCTGGGCTCGCTGGTGGGAGCGGTGCTCATGTTCCCGCTGGTCAACGTGGTGCGGCTCTTCTCCTCCGCTGACTTCTGCAGCCTCCAATGCGCCTCGTAGGCCAGCTGGGGGCACACGCACCCGCCGCGACAACGCACCAAGCTCACCCCGTCGTTAGCACCTGGCACCCGATACCCAGCGCGGCAAGGGCTATGCCCGAGGACACAGGGCAGAGGGGAGGGGAGTGGAGAGGCAGGGCCATTTGGCACCGAGGGGATACAGCAGGTCTCCCAGGCAGCGGGCCTGAAGAGGCAAAGCGCGGCCCTACCCAACTCGATGCCGCCCCTGCAGCCCGCCTGCCTGCCCGCCCTTCGCTGCCTGCCTCCTGGTTGATTTGAAGCATCGGCGGTGGGAGTCCTGCCCCAGGAGAAAGCAGGTTGGCAGGGGGACACCGTGAGAGCTGGCCCTCTCCAGCTGGGGGTGACTTTGAGGAAGCCACTTCACTTCTCTGTCAGTCCGCTTCCGCGTCTGGAAAATGGTGTTATAATAAACAGTACCTCTCTCCCAGGCTTGCTGCAGGGGTGAGAGAGCGTTCCCTAGCATGTAACAAGCCGCCCCGGTTCTTTCCTTGCTCTGATCCCAACAGTAATGACAGAGTGGCACTTAGCACAGCCTCAAAATGGCCAGCTGGATTGAGAGGTGACTGCTGCCCTATCTTTCTTTGCCCTCCCAGAAGAACTTACAGGAGGCGGCATCTAGTAGGTCTGCCTGGGAGGTTTTTGGAACCATGGTATCAATGGGTTCAAGTCCTCCACGCCTCTTCCTGTCCCCTCTTAGCTCCCAGGGACCTGCTCCCTAGAGAGTAAGTGGCCTGTGGGAGGTCGAATTACATAAGGGGGTGGGGGGCAGGGGGGGTTCCTACCTTTCCCTCTGAAAGTGAGCTCCCCACCAGACGTGGGGCATTGTTAACTTCCAGGCCAATGGAATCGGCTGTGGCTCCTCATGAGTGTACGCCTCCCTTTGGAACTAAGACCTCGACTCTCCGAGCACAAGTAGGCTGTGAGGACAGAAAGCAAAAGTGTTGTGAGACTGTTTCTAAAAATAAGAGGGGCATGGTGCCCTCCCCATTCCTGCCTCCTGATTCCAAGACTTGTGAATCCTGGTTATGGGAGAAGCAGCACCGTATATTGGATGCTGGTTTAGAACACATACAGCCAGTGGGGAACGAATGCCCTAAGCCTGTATAACCTAGCTGGCCCTGTGTGTCTTTAGATGGTTATTCCAGTGGCTTCAAGATGTTGGGGGCATGGTAAGAAGAGCAAACTCCATGAGCGTGGAGCAACACAGCCCTTCATTTGCTACCGAGTGCCCCTTGGCACTCTGTGCAGGGTGCCATAGCATTGGACAAGGCAGCCTGTAAGTGCACACGGAGGAGAGCTTTGGCAAACGCACTGCGTGTGGGAGAGGCACATGCGTTCAGAATTAAGCGTGTCTTCCAGGAAGAAGAAAGCTCTGCCCTTTCCAGGCTGGAAGTGGTCTGACATTATCAACCTGATCTGATCACCGGCTTGCTGGCCGATCTCCCGGAAGAACGGTCCCATCTTGTGGGCGCAGTGATGGTATCTGCTGCTGGCCGATAGGGCACTCAGCAGTGACTGCAGCCCTAGGCCAATCTTTGTGAGGAGAAGTGAGAAGTCTAGGTTGCTAAGCCCGTGGGTAACCTTCTTCCCTGCCACCGTGACCACGTTGTTCATGAGCCCATGGGGCAATGACAGGAGTGACCGTGGAAAGAGGCTGGCTGGCATGCGTCGACTGCTCTATTCTATCCACATGATAGTTAGAACCCTCCTCTGCTGAGGTCACCCCTTTAGTGAGTATTGACATGAGACACAAATATCCTCACTTCTTTGGCCCATTGAGAGAGTCCTATCCACATACCACTTCCTCATACCTCCTTGTTACCAATTTCTCAATAGCGTTCCTTCCGAGTCCCTGACAATCCAGCCAAACCATCGGCCATGGCCCATGAATCAGTATACAACCAAGCATGTGAGAATGATGAGGGTAACGAATGTACAAATGTGCTTTATACAATTGATGTAGGTATGGATTGTGATAAGAGTTGTATGAGTCCCCAATAAAATGATTAAAAAATAAATTAAATAAATAGGCCAGAGTAGCACACCCAAATAAGGGCTGTATTGCCTCCAAAATCCAAAGATGTCTCTCCTAGAACCCAGCATCATTCTTTAAAGAAATGGGAAAACCTCACCAACTTTATATAGAATGGAAAAAGACCCAGGATAAGCCAAGCCTTACTTAACAACAAAGCAGGAAGCCTCTCATGTCCTGACCTCAAAACCTACTGCACAACAGTGGGTGTCCAAACAGCCTGGACCTGTTAGAAGAGATACACTGACCAACGGAACGGAGCAGAGAACCCACTTGTGTGTGCGGAATATGGAAATACTGCATGGTTTCAAGTCAGGAAAGGTGTGTGTCAGGGGAATGTCCTCTCGCCATACTCATTCAATCTGTATGCTGAGCAACTAATCTGAGAGGGTAGATTATATCAAGAAATTGGAGGAAGGCGTATTAACAACCTTCTATTGCAGATGGCACAAGCTTGCTGGCTGAAAGTGAAGAGGGCTCGAAGCACTAGCTGATGAAGACCAAGGATTGCAGTCTCGGTCAGGATGACAACTCAGTGTGAAGAAGACCCAAATCCTCACAACTAGACCCATAGGTAATGCCGTGATCAATGGGGAAAAGGTTGAAGCTGTCTCAGATTTCGTCTTGCTTGGATCCACAATCCATGCTCATAGAAGCAGCAGTCAAGAGAGCAAAAGACACATTGCGTTAGGTAATTTTGCTGCACAAGACCTCTTTAGAGGAGTGAAAAACCGAAAATGTTGCTTTGAGGATTAAGGTGCACCTGAACCAACCCATGGTATTTTCAATTGCCTCATATGCATGTGAAACTGGGACATTGAATAAGGTAGGCCAAAAATGAATCAATGCATTTGAATTTTTGGTGCTGGAGAAGAATATTGGAAGTACCATGAGCTGCTAAAAAAAAAAATTGATCTGTCTTGGAAGAAGTATGGCCAGAGTGCTCCTTAGAGGACAGGCTAACGAGACATTATCTCACATACATTGGACATGTTGTCGGGAAATACCAGGCCCTGGAGAAGGACATCGTGTTTGGTCAAGCGGAGGGGCTCCGAAAAAGAGGAAGGGCCTCTTGGAAACAGAGTGACACCACGTCTGTAACATTGTGCCGAAGCACAGGAACAATGGTGAGGGTGACCCCGAACCAGGCCGTGTTTCATGCCGTGTGCCCAAGGTCATGCGTCAGAGTAGGCAGCCCCTCACAAATCATCACGGCCCGGCAGGCACAATTGTACAGCTATCATACGTGAAGATTTCAGTAAAGTCGCAGAGAATAAGAGAGATAGAAGAGAAAGTAAGATAAAGGAGTCAGACACATTTTATGGTAGCGTGCTCACCTCCACCCTACTTGATGGCCCACATGGAGATCCGGAGACCAGAAAGGAGCAGGAGGGAGAGGGATTTATTTCAAAGCTTATATATACTTGGGGTCGTGCAAGCCCCCTGATTACAGGCAACACCCTACACCACAGGAAGGGGTTGTAGCAAAGGCAATACAGTAATGGGAAGGGGACGATCTAGGGGTGCATACCCAATAAGAAGAGTAGGAATCAGGGTACACATGTGACAAGATAGGCGGATCCTAGATTCAAGATGGAGCATAACCTTGATTGTCCTTGAGCTGGAGGCTAGATTTATTCTAAGCTTTCTATGGAAAGGAATCCACTGCCCTCAACAGCAGGGAGTGAGACCCACCTATGGTGGGATAAACAATTGTGTCTGATTGTGCCGGATGGCTAGATGCCTACAGGGAGAATATCTCTAAGCATCTGACCTCCCACACACTGGCAGATAGCCTCTTAGGTTTGGCATATCTTTGGGGGAGACAAAGCTGGGGAAAAGTCTTTAGAACCCAGTTGATAGCACCTAACAACAATAACAACAACAACCTGATCAAGCCATCACACAATTGGTGTGTGCCCTACGGAAAGGCAAACAGATATAGACACACACCCACAGGCATTACAGCGCGGCTCACAATAGCAAGAAGATGGAAACAAAGAAGGGAGAAATAGATCTTGTTGCATACACACCATTATTAAGGAATCCTGATAAAACTGTAAAATACGTCACGGCATGGATGAATCTAGTTAGTCGGATGGATGAAACGACGTTAGTCGATCAGAAAAGGGCAGATCTTGCATGAGACTGTTAGGTAGGCCAGCATAGGACTGGGGTTTGTCCGTTAACGCGTGCCCAGAGGGTCAAGCTAGGGGAACGAAGGAGTGGCGCCCCGCACATGTTCAGGGTTCCCACCGGTAGGCAGGGGTGGGCGTGAACTTGAATTGGATCACCTAGCCAGGTAAATTCAATTCAGCCAATGGGGTTGACCAGGGGTCTTCCACCACGCCTCCCTGTGGAATCCTTGAAAAGGCAGAAGCCCCGAGGGGAGGGAGAAAAAAGGACAAGAACCAAGACGGGAGAACTTAGAACGGAGGAGAAGGACCTAGACAGAAGGGAGAGAACTCAGACGCAGAGAGCTTTGGCACGCGTTGCGGGACGCAGAGCCACTTCCAGCTAGGCCGCATGTCCGGGAGGAGCTCCTTGGGTGCCGTGTAAACCTGAAACTTCTTCTAACTTTCATAAAACTCACTTTCGATCACGAACCCGGCTTCGGCGTGGTGAATTCTTTCTCGCGCGGAGCCAAGGACCGAGGTATAAATCTAGCTCCAGAGAGATCTAACAAGACCACTGTTACAAGAGGGGAAAAAATCATGATAAAGGTTCTCATACCAAAAGAAACAGACTTTAAGGGTGACCAAGGGTGGGAGGGGGAGGGTAGGAAAGGGTGGGAAGAGGAGGCAATAGGCTAAAGGGAAGACAGGTGTTAACTTGGGTGACGGGAAGATAACGTCCTAAAATAGGGTAGGCAAAAATGGGGGTGGGGGGGGCGGGATAAAGCAAGCCATTGGGAGGTTGGCTATGTTAAGTTGTTGAATGTGAACCCGATGATCTGATAAATACACTCCAGCCCGAGGGCATCATGGCTGGTAAAGAGAGACATCAAAAAGAGGAAGATCTTCGACAAAATGGGCGGCACAGGAGCGGCCACAAGGGCCTCAAACATGACAATTATGCGGGGCCGTGCAGGGCAGGGTAGGGTTCCGTTCTGTGGGACACAGGGCTGCTAGGAATCGGAACCGACTAGCTAGCACCTAGCAACAATTCGCAACGTAAAAGGCTTTTAAAAGTTGTGAAAAAATCCCATGATCTTTTAAGCCCATTTATCCATGAACGCTCAAAAAATAGTTTTATTGGCATGTACTTCACATATCATCTCAAGAAGAGTTGCACAATCATCACCACAATTTCAGGACTTTTTATTCCTCCCATCCTTGGTGGTTAGCTTCCCATTTCATCCATCCCTCCCTGCCAGGACCCGAGGTGAGTATTCACCCACTTACTGGTTACATAGCTATACCTG